GATATTGTTGATGTGTTGTGAGATTGTTAATCATTGTCATAGGGCAACATGTGTAGTAACTGTTAAATGAGAAACTATTTTGTTCTGTAAGCCTTTGTCTTAAGTGAGAATAGCAGCACAACTGGAAGAGCGTAGTCAATGTCACTGAACTGTGCAAGTAGAAATTTTTGAAACTGTGTATCTTTGGCTATGTGTATTTTCACCAAAAAAAAAGGTTGAGAAGTTAGAGGGTTGATGTGTTATGGGGTTGTTAACCAATGTCATAAAACAATATGTGTACTACTGTTTCATGAGAAACTTTGTTTTGTAAGCCTTCACCTGAAGTACAATAATAAAAAAAATAAAAAGTAATTAAAAAAAATCACAAATAAAGGAAAATCCAAAGAGTCTCACATTGAATATTTTAATGATAGAAACGGGCAAACAGGAAACAAGAAAGCAAATAATGTTAAGTTTAGAGAAAAAAGAGAAAGAAAATAAGCAGGAGGAATAATCTAGTTGGAAACGAAAGAGTGTTAGGAAACAGTATATTGTGTTCATGCTCTGGAGTCAGACTGTCCCAGTTTACATTCTGACTTATTATTTACTAACTCTGTAACCTTGGACAAGTTATTTAACTTTTCATGCCTCAGGTTCCCCATCTGTAAAATGAGGTTAATAACAGTGCTTCCCTCATAGGGTTGTTGTGAAGATTACATACGTAAATCTACCCGTTGCTTAGAACAATGTTAGGTACGTAGTAAGCACTTAATAATTACCAGCAATTATCATTATTAACAAAATAACCCAGCAAAAGGGAAAAAATGCACTAACAGATAACAAGTTAGGATAGTAGTTAATGAAATTTAAGGGATATTTTCACGATCCCTTTAAAGCAACAGGTCGCTAAAGACCCCAAGAGGTGGTTCCTCTCTTGCTTTACAGGGAGAGAGAAGTAAGCATGGCTATCAGCCTCCTCAAATTCAATATACAACTACAGAGGAGTGGAGGTTTCTACACCTCTGTAAAGGGTTATTAATGTAAAAGAAGTGAACCCCTTGCTCTTTACTCACTACCTGGCTGTGATTATATCTATTTATAAGGAACCTGACTATTAGATTTTTCTGTGGTTCTGTAGTTGGACTCAAAAGGCCTATCAACCTAGAGAAACACGTATCAAAATGAAAGGAGGAATGGAGAAGACAAAGTAAGTCATGCTCTTGAGCTTTTCCCCTCCTGATTTGTTCCCATTTTAGGAAGAAAAAAGGGGGAGGGGACAGAGAAAGAAGGGAAAATAAATAAGAAAGAGAGACTTTGTAAACAGCAGGAGATAAAGATAGCTCAGAGCAAGGTCTTACGAATGCAGTGACTAGTTCTGCTTTCATTGGACCAAGCAGATGTGGTCCTCAATCATTTAACTGAAACCAACTGAAACTGAAAAGCAAAATATTTTGTTTAATCTAATCTGCATCAATTTTTCCCATCACAAAGTTCATATTTAAGACCATCCCACATAAGTTTTTGTTGTTCCATCCTCATTCCTCTAACACCCATTTTATAAAGAATAAAACTTAAAAGCTGGGAGAAATCAGAAGAAAAGAAACAGATGACAAGCCAGGACATTAACAGACAATCTGAGCAATGACAAACCGCCTGCACTGGATTAGGGGGTCAGGAGGGGTTTCATTCCATATTGCCTTTTGAATTTCTTTGACTTTTTCCCCTAATGGTCCTGTCATAATTCTAACCTTTTACAGGAAGAATGGGAAGGCAGAGATATTTAGAATTCAAGTTCTAATGTTATACTTTTCATCACAAAACAGAAACAAGACAGCTTTTTTACCAAAAGAAAAGCTCTCACCAAGAACAACAAGAGGGAAAAAAAAAAAAAAAAAGAGGTATATGGGATGAGTGTGTAACAAAATCACAGCAGAAACGCAGCACACATCTCTCAAAGCAGCACACTCTCTCACATACCACTCTGACAATTTGGACTTCACATAAGAGAAGTCATGAAGTCTTCTGCTCATTAATAGTGCTACTGAGAACAGACTAGCGCAAAATAAGAGAGGTTTTCCGGACGTCAACATGCAAAAGGCAAGGCTTCAATTCTCACATTCGAAGCAGCTCACATTAAAGAGATAAACTACTTAGGAACCACACTCCTTGGCTCTGGTTTGCAGAACACAAAAGGCATGCACAAATGCAAATCTCACCCCCTTTTATTTTAGAAGAAAGAGCTCCTGTATTATCCAATTTGTTTGGAGATACAGGTAGACTGAAAAAAAAAACACAACAAAAACAAAAAAACACACAACCATGCCTATTTACCTTGAATGGGATAAGAATAATGTGCTGGGCTTGGCTGGCTTGTGGTTAACCCTGTAGTGCAGGTAAGAACACTGTGTTGACTTGGAGATGGAGTCTGAATTAAACCACTTTCAGGTTTCATACCTGGCCACAATGCACCTGAATCAGATAAATTGGACCAATTACAAACAATACACGGGGACTGAAGAGCATGGTTATGCTTGCAAGTATCAGTCAGTAGGTTTAAAATCTAAACCTTAAAAATAAATTTGCTTGTAAGAGAAAATTACTGATTCTCCCACTTGTAATATACCACAAGCAAATACACTTTCAAAGAACTGGGGGATGGAGCCATAGAAACAAAAATTTTGCCAAAAACCTCAATAGTGATATTTACGGTATATAAGCTTATTTCAGTGGTTGGGAGAAACTGACCAGGGTTCAGAGAATGAGCTACTAACACCCAACTGGAGTATATGTCATAAAGAGTGCTTGATGTTCATGTATAGTGATAAATCACTTATGCTGCATTGTCAAGATGGGAGACATTCCACATAAATTTAAAATTCACTTACCCATTAAATAAGCACCAAACTTTTCTAAAATATATTAAAATATTTCTCAACCTCCTTAAGCTCGTTAATCTTTGTTTCTTTCAATTAGGAAACAATAGCTGCTTATTTTTATAAATGAAAAAATTTCAGAAATATGTAACCTAGAAAAAATAAAGCCATGTATAACCCCATCATCCAAACTTAACCACTAACAGGTTGGAGAAGAGTCACTAGATTTCTTCTATGCCTTTACTAATAATTTTTTTTCTTCTTTTTTTAAAAATAAAAATGGGATCATGTTATATATACTATTCATAACTTGCTTTTTCCACATAATACATCTGAAAGACATCTTTCTGTATCAGAACATAAAAATCTATCCTCCCTTTTTAAACAACTGCATAACATTCAATGATTAGTTAAATAAATTATGCTACATCCAATCTCTTATTGATAGGCATCATGGCTGTTCATTTTTATTTTATTTTTATCACAACGCTCCTGAGTAACCATCTTTCTAAAATATATTTATATCCTTTCCTGCCTTAAGCAGAGAGGAAATAGTGAATATAGGTTTAGGTTTTCAGAATTATTGTTATAAAGATCAATACTGTGCTGTGTTATAGATACTACAGAGATACTCCCAGAGGCTATTGTGATATGTGAAGACACCGAAATCAGCACTAAATAGAACTCAACAGTTCTTTGATTTTTAAGTTCTTACGTCACTGTCTTTTCCCTGTGATTTGTTACTTCTTGACAATCTCCTGTTTCTGGCTGTACCTCCCTTTTAATTTGCAGTAAACCAGGAAATCATAAGCAAAGCTTGCTAGAATCTAAAGTTAAAATGAAACTAAACTGCTTCTGTATGAGAGCCTAAGGATGTCCTTTATGAGTGAAATACTTGTGATCTTTAGTTCACAGTTTCTGTGATAATTTTAGCTATGCAAAAGCCTATTTAAAAAAAAACAAAAAACTTAATGCTTGGTTGTTCACTGTACTCTAAATAGTTATGGTTGCTGGATGAATGCAGCTGAAGCTGAAATTTACATCCAAGAAGGTTCATCAAATACAATTCAGGTAAGAAATCAATACCAAGGTTAGCCATGGCTTCAAATTCAACATTAGCTTATTTTATTTACCCTGATCGGATGATGAATTCAGTGAATGAATAATATATACAATGAGAAATGTAATGCTTTGATGAGGACTCCATCTTCATCAGGGCACTGAGATACTTTGATGTGACTCAGACATGTCAAATTCGTTGATAAGTGAATTTAAGAATAGTAAAAGGAGATATAAAAATCTTAAATGGTCAACAATGAGACATAATAAATGCTTTGCTCCAAGCCGTAAAGGCATTAAAAAAACTAATGCTGTATTTTTTTTCCTCATCTATTAACTATATGGAGGCCGGGTGGCACAGAGGTTAAGAGTTCCACTGCTAATCAAAAGGCTGGCAGTTTCAATCTACCAGCCTCTCCTTGGAAACCCTATGTGGCAGTTCTACTCTGTCCTATAGGGTCGCTATCAGTCAAAATCGACTAGACAGCAATGGGTTAGGTTGTTTTGGTTTGGTTTATTAACCATATAAAATAATTATTTGTGGAGATAGAGGAATAATAACATTTGTACCATGAATTAAGGAGTCCTTGGGTGGCACAAACAGTTAAGCGCTTGGATTCTAACCAAAAGGTTGGTGATTTGAATCCACCCAGAGGGATCTCAGAAGAAAAGATCAGAGTCACTGAAAACCCTATGAAGCACAGTTCTACTCTGGCACACATCAAGTCACCTCGAGTTGCACTCAACAGGACTGCCTCATTTTTCCGGGTCTTAAAAGTTTTCTGCCTTTGACAGGGTACAGTCTTACCACTTTTCTATTGCTCTCTATTAGTAGAAAATATTTGAGGTTTCCTGCTCTTACAGGCTTCCATCTTACATAGGTTCTGGCTTTTGCAGGTTTTACTGTATGATGTGAAATGTGAATATTAGTGCCATGATTCTTGGTGGCTGCTTATAACTTTTTTTTCGGTAAACAAATCATCATTTTAATAACTTTCAGATTTAGTGTAATCAATTTTTTTTCCAAAGTAGGTTCTGAACCTAAGGTGCTGGATTTATGAACATGTTTATTATTACATTTGTACTAAAATGCTATCTTATTAATAAGAACATATCTACTGAGAAGCTTTGCTAGTCTCATTATTTAATATATTTTTAAAAGCTTATGTAAACTGTCTTTATAAACTGGTCCCTCTCATAAGGTCAAAACTTAGGGCACAAACGCCCACGACAAATAGGGGAATAGATCGTTTTGAATGTCTTTGGCCAAAAACACAAAGTAGATATTTCATATATAATTATTTTATGACAAATAGAGGAATAAAAGACAACGTGGACATTGCTTTCAGTATGACCTGTAGCCCTACTCTTTAAGCATATAAATATCTTCCTCTAAAATCATCCTTCCCAGAATTCTATGTAATAGCTAGTATGACCAAATGCTTTGACTGTATAGCACTACTGCCCACAGCAAATAAGGAAACCAAACCCTGGTTTCCTGACTCCTCGTCCACTGCTCTTTGCCTACAACTACAAAGCTTCTCTGGTACTTTTAAGCACCAAGAGCATGCTGTGGAGCAACAGCTGGTCTAACAATGGGAAAGGAAGTCTGACCCTGAGTAGTAATCCTCCTGTACCACACACTGGGGTTTTATCACAAACTTTCCAAGTTTCTCAGCACAAATACTTCACTATGTTACTAACCAACTAATCAGAGCAGTTCAGTTTAGAGTAATACGTACCAGGGTAGTGAATCTTTAGAGAAGCTAAGTTGGGTTAGGAATTGAAGTACACATTAATGTTGGAAAAAAGCCCATGAAAGAGTACCTTGGTTTGTTAATTCAATAGATGATTGAGATTAATAATACATTACTAAGTAATTTAATCTGATTACTTATCCTGATTATAAAAGAAATGGATGTATATTATAGAAAATAAGAAAATATAGGAAGTATAAAAAAAAAAAATCCCAGTGTCTCACCACACAGAAACGAAACAAAACACAGGCAGTCCTTGTTTTTGCATGTTAACCAAAACCTGTGCATATGGGAACTACGTCCTTGTTTTGCACGGTTCTGTGGTATATGAGATCAAATGTGTACTGCTAACATTAACATTTTTTCCTTCCAAATTATTCTATATGCATACATTTTTTTAAAACACTAAATTGGGACTAGATTATACTTTGTTTTACATACTGCTTTTTTCAATTATAAGATACTGAGTGTATTCTAAATAGTCTCAAGACCCTAAGTATACTTTAAGAATATGACTTATAATGGCTACATAGTTGTTCATTTTAAGGAGACACTGCAATTTAACACATACTTTGGTATTCAATATTTAGGTTGTTTCTAAATTTTTGCTATCATAAGCAATGATGCAACAAATATTTTGGTTAAATTTTTGTGGATATCTCTAATTAGTACCACAGAACAAATTCTTAGAAGTGAAACTACTAAGGAAAATGGTATGAACATCTTTAAGGCTCTTGACACATACTGCCAAATCTTCATCTCACATTAAAGTTCTTTTAAAATAAGTTAGAAGAGTGGCTACTAAGAGCATATTTTATTAGTCATTAAAAATAAATGAGTGCCCTCTCCACACACATAATTCCTTCATTCAGATCACTGGAAGTTAAACTTCTAATCCCCTTCCTGCCACCCCACCTCATTTCTATATAGCTTTGAAAAGAATATGACCACTATTCCTCTACTTTTTAAAGATTTTTTTTATAAGATATTCTTTTCTAGATTTATTCTAGTCTTTTCCCCACTCTTCAAGAGGATGAAGTTTTTAATTTCAAGCTCAACTCTGAGACCATATTTTTGCAACAGATCTAAATTTATGAGCACCTCTGGAATTAAATCAATCTGGGTTCAATTCTAATCCCAGACGTTTACTAATAGCATGACCTCGGGCTAGTTACCTAATTCATCTAAACCTCAGTTTCCTCATCTACAAAAAGGGATAATTAATGCTACTGCTTACCTCATAAAACTGTTCTGAGGATTAAATGGCACAATAATGAAAAGTGTAAATTACTTATTCTTAGTGTTCTACCTGGTATGGTCCAAAAACCAATACAGTTGCCGTTGAGTTGATTCCAATTCATAGCGACCCTATAGGACAGAACACAACAGCCCCATAGGGTTTCCAAGGAGTGGCTGGTATAGTCGTACTGCCAATATGGGCAAGCACTTAACCATTGCGCCACCCAGAGACTCATTCACATTTACTCCAATCTAAATATCTCTACAGTAAGTCTCACACATTATTTAAAGTCAAATCAAGCTAATGATTATCTCTCTGAATTTCTGACAGAGGAATTTATGAAACACAAACCTCCCTTGCCCCCAAATACAAAAAAAAACCCAAAGCAGATTACTAAGGCAGCCTGTTGTTAGTAATATTTCTTCATAATATAAACACTGTTTCCTTCCAATTTTTAAAACAGAGATGTCTACTTTACAGAATTTTCTTTCTTTCCTTTTATTTAATACAAGGGAATGCAGTGATCATAAAAAATACCATAATATATAGGACCTATATGTCTGTGGCACTGTATTTGGTATCCTATAAATTGAGTTCAGAAGTAAAATAGGAGATTTATTTAATACTGAACAGAAGAATGATCAACTATTCAATAATGTCATAAAAGGCGTTGGGTTTGCTAATTGAATGCAAATCAAAACAGAAGGTAAGAAAAAATAAAAACAATTCTTATTTCATAATTGCTAGCCTATTATTATAGCCAGCTGTTGAAAAATTAGCTTTAATATACACAAAAATAAACAAACACAAACATATTCACAAAGGATTCCCTTTCCAAAAGGACTACTCAGTCTTGGCAGGTTAAATATACCACAAATACAAGATTTAGTAAATTGGCTGGTATTGACAGGCATGGAGGCATGCATGTGTAAATGGGAGAAACAAAAGAATTTCTGTCTCCCTTCTCTCATGAAGTTATCAACTACCACTGTCAATATATGTAACACCCAATTTTTGTTTCTAACAATCACCAGGAGCCAAGGAATGCTAACAAGCCTAAAAGTAAGAAAGCTGTCACTGTCATAAAAGACTATCCAAATGGGCCAGGAGAAGTAGGAATGTAGAAACCAAAAGCAAGCGGCAATTATACATCCAGAATCTGTGGTTATCTGTTTTAAAGATTTTTCTAATTCCTGGCTTGCTTCAGTAAAATCTACAGAAATATGACTTTATTAACATATTGTATATTTTAAAAGAAAAATACAACATTCTTTCAATTTTTTCAACTTAAAAATAATACAGTATTCTCTCAATTTCTGACACCAATTCTAGGAAAGCAGGGAAAGGGCAATAAAGCACACTGCATCTACCTATCTACTTATACACTCAGAGAAAAATCAGTGCAGATATTAACTATCCAAATAACCTCAAACTGACTTCTGGTAAATCACTCTAATTTATAGTTCATATTCAAGATACCTAAAACCAATAAACAAAACTCCCTATGTACATGATAAGGTTATAGAAAATTTGGATTTCTCCCATTCTAAGATGACTTTCTGTTTCAGCAGAGCAAACAATTTGATCAGAGTTTGGGAATAAGAGGGGATAGGAAGAAACTGGCAAAAAATAAGAGAGAGCAAACTATGAGGTATATTCTAGCTAGAGATTTACTCCACCTGGTATCATCAAGAAATTACCCACCTTAAAATACATTATGCTTACCTAAACATGGTACCACATTACATACAAAGTCTAATCAATAGTTATTCCTCAAAGAGTTTTCTAAACACTTAAGGATTCCAACTGCAGAGTTGAGACTCAGTACCTTGGAAAGAGCTAAATTTTGGTGGATAAATAAATGTGTATTGAAAAGGTGTAGTTTTATATTACATTTAGCGAACACGCTGTTGGAAAGTTCCTGCCCAACTTTCACCACACCTATAACCGAGTACATGCTGTGCAGAGAACAACTCGTTTCTCAGCTCCCCGAGGTCAGCCATGCTTGCTTGCCTTTGGGGGAAAGACGGACATTTCTAGGGGATAAAATCAACATTCCTAGAAACTGCTTAAAATAGGATGCCTTACCAAAAGGAGGTAGTCCGTATGTTTGGGTTGCCTGAGGGTAGACAGCATAGGGCTGAGACTGCTGTAGCGTCTGGTACTGAGTCTGCCCAGGATAAGCAGTTTCCGAAACAGGAACTGAGAGGATATGTGCATACGGTCTAGAAAAGTTCAAGAAAACAAAAACCTTTATGTGTGATTTATTTTAGTAATGAGAAACAGGGAAAATGGCTAATACCACTAACAGCAAGGAATCAGCAACAGGGAGGCTGACCTACCCCATAAAATGGCTCTTGCTATGGTCACAAAATAGAACCCTTTTCTCTTTTTCATGTTCTATCATCTACCTAAGGAATAATGTTATGGAAATTTTAATAATTTCAAACATCCTCCCAAGGTCCAATTATTATCCTATAAACATTTGTAGATTGCTACTGCACGCAAGGCCCTATGTGAGATACAAGGATGGATTAAATTTGTTTACACCCTTATGTCTACATACAGAATAAAATCCTAAATAACAGGAAATTGGATAGAACAGGATTGACAATTTGCTCATTCTCCACCTAGTCCCCAGGGCAAACTAAAATTCTGAGAGAGAGAGTGGGACTAGAAAAAAAGGGGCAAGGCTGGTGGAGAAACCCATCATAAAACTGGGGAAGGGTTAGGCCTCAGTTTCCAGATCAAGCTTATAATACAGGAGCCAGGTCGACAGGAAAATCCATGCACTGATACTTAAGCCAGAGCACACTGCTACTAGTTGGTGCCAAGTACACTAGGGATACCTAGGGATGTAAATTCAGCAGTGACACCCCTGGGAATTTAGATGAACTAGCTGACCTGGTCATTACATCTACGCAGTAAGATGGTCTCACATTTCATGTGCTAAATTTTTAGACACCAGTTACTTTATTTGGTGGGTTATATTGAAATTATAATGCAAGAAAGAATGTGCTTTATATGCCATATGAGTCATAACAACAAGATACTGGGGAAGGGGGTTAGTGTTACAGACGGGAAAAAAGATTCTTTTTCAGCTTTACGGAAGAGAAGAATGAAGGAAGGCTACAAAGAAATGGCATGTGAACTTCTGAAGTGAGCAGACAGGATGTGAAGAAATTAGAAAAAGGGTGTTCTTAAAAAAGAGAAAGGCCTGGCAAGGGGAAAAATACCTTAGCATAAGTACAGAGGAAAGAAAGCAAGGGCTTCAGCCTGCAGCGAGCATAGATTATATCAAGAGAAGTTTCAAAAGAAAGCTATAAAAATAGATAGCAAAGACCTTGAATGCCAGGCTACAAGAGTTCAGACAAGTCTGAAACTGGGAGCCACTAAAATATTTAAGCAAAGAGTGACAAGATCAGAGCTTTTCTTTAAGGACCATTAACATGACATTGCTTTGAGGAATGGATTAGAGGGGAAAGAAATTAGAAATGGAAGTCCAGTTAAAAAACTATTATAATGTAATGGCTCAGATTAAGTGGTAGGGAGGGTTTGAATTAAGACAGAAGGTACAGATAATAAGGTGTCCTGAATGTAGTGTTATGTAAATATTTTTTGAATGAATAAATGAATTTAGAATATGCAACATATTCTCTTCTCAGTAGATTCTAAGGGAATAAATTTGAAAATCTCTACATTTTTTAGCCATATGTGAGTCCAGGAAATAGTTCAGGTTGCAGTTGTGACTCAAGTCACATGGGAACAATTTAAAATCTTAATCATCTCAAACGGATTTAAGCAGGGGCAGATTACCCAGTAAGCACAGGTAAGCACAGGCTTACCTGTGCTTACTTAGTAATCTGTAGTGGCCAGTTAGTAAGCAAGCACAATTAAGCCCGTGCTTACCTTGCTTTCTGGGTCATTCGCCCTGTCAGGGATTGTAAATCTGAAGAGGCTTTGATTCTGTAGGAAGTACTGTGGGGTTGGGAGAAAGACAGATGCCTGCCATATCTAGATGCAGAATCTCTGATGTATGAAAAAATGTGAAATTGTTCACTACAGATGATCTGGTACCGTATTTATCTTGCCTATTGGATAATTCACCCCTGGATTTAAGATCCATATATGTTAAAGATCATAATATCCTTTTTCATATAGTGTCATTATAGCTCAAAGTACTTTCACATTTATTATCTAATTCTTTCATAATGGTTCTAGAGAGTAGGTATAGTCATTTTCGCAAAAGAGGAAAACCCTACAAAAGTTATTGGCCCAAGGACACTATTAGTGTTAATACCAGATTAGAATTTGGAGGACTTACTGAGTTGACTTTTTAATGTTTATTTTTTAATGGATACAAAATTCAGAAGGTACGAAAAGGAAACAAATACCAGTTTCCTTTTCATTTCAGCCCTTCGGCATCCTTTACTCCTGCTAACAATTTCTTTATGTATCCTGCAGATGTAAGCACGTATGTATATATCGAGGTTTAATAATCACATTTGCACGTATCTATGTATGTATAGGCCAGCTGTTTATAAATGTACAATTAGTAGCTTGGTGTTCACACTGTTCTGAACTTATCTATCTTGAGTAACTTGGTTGACCCTACATGTTGATCTTAGCCCATGAAGACTTAAAACATTGTCTCTTAAGTGACTTCAACCTACTAAATCTGTCTTACTTTAAGCCCAGCCCTACTTTGAGGACATCCCTCAAACAAGAAACTGAACACAGATTAGGCTGAGAAGTCTCAGTCTGAGGCTAGCCTGAACTGTTTTTATTGATCTGTCTGTCAAGGTAGAGGAAAGAATAATTAGAGGTCAAGCAGTGATAAGCTTTGATCACTAACACTATTTTGCATTTTCAGTGCCTACTCACTTAGAGTGAGCTCCTGGGTAATAGTGATCTATTCCAGGAAACCACCTGCTTTTTAAAGGGATGTTACATAGACTCTATATTTAGAAGGAATAAAAAGTTGGAGTAGGGACAAGGGAGGTGAAAAGAAATTAAATACCAAATTAAATTTTGCAAAGAGCCTAGTGAAAAAGCATAGAGATTTTAGAAATAATTATTCAACTTACTTTGCAGAATACATTTGTGAGGTATAATCATTGGATGAGCGAGGGATGTAATCGGTGCATGTCATAACTGAAAGAAAGATAACATCATCAGGTAAAAAAATTAGAACATTTCAAAAATGAAATGGGAAAATTGTATATCTCACTGTACAGTCTTTCAAACTAAATAACAAAATAAAGCTTAGACATCAGAAATTTAGAAAGACTATTAGAAAACACCTCACTGTTCTAACAACCTGTTTATAGTCTTTTAGAGACAGCAAAAGAAGGTAAAATGTGGGGGGATATGGAAAAGAGCTGAAGATTGGTACCAATTGAGCTCTACCCATCACTCATGCCTGATCTAAAACCAAGATGAAGCAACCTCTTAAGCTATAAGCTGTGTTCACAGGCAAACTTAAAAAGATCATCTATTTAGGAAAGCACATTATGCTTCAGCTTATTCATTCTTTGGGTGCTTACTGTATGGTGAGTAAAGGCTATAAGAATGATTTGCAGGAAGACAGACTTGAGGACAGTACCCCATCTTGTTAGAAAGCTGTAGCTACCGCTGTGTATAATCATCAGCAGAACAGATGCAAGTACAATTCTATACTACTATTTTTAAGCTTTGTAGTAAAGGCTCTGTTAAGGTTTGGCAAAGCAGAGAAGGATCTGAGGAACTGAGGTGACGCCCTGACAACCCATCAGGTAAAAAGACTTTCCCAGCCAGTGCCCTCCTGACACTGATTTCAACCACAATAGCTGCTGTGAAGGTCTGCCCCTCTATGATTTCATTTGGGATTTAAATGCTGTAAACATTTGACTCATGTTTGACAGGTAGCAGAATCCTATTCATTAGGCGCTATTTCAATCCATGTTGTAGACAGTTACATCATAGTGAGCTTGCACCAGACTCCTGAACTGTTCAAGAACTTCCTTCAACATCTATAAAGGAGCTCACTTTACTGTGAATAAGGACTAGGGGTAAACTTTATGTTTAGCTGGGTTCCCTGAAGGAGTGCCTGACCCTAACAGGGCATCTTAGTCAAGAGCAGATGAGGGGTCAATTCATACCCAACAGTGAGACAAATCGACACCTATATGTTTATTATAGAAGGTCTCACCCAAGGCCATTGTTTCAGCTCTTTATAAATAATTATTAGAAATGTGTAGATTACATTCATTATAGAACTGTGGGGCAGTTCTACTGCATCCTCTTGGGTCACTACTGAGTCAGATTTGACTTGATGGCATTATAAATGTCTACGATAATTGATAAAAATGAAAGAGATATCAATTAGATCTAAAGTTCTTATCATCCTTCACAAAGCATGTACAGTAAGCTCATTTGAATGATGATTCCTTCTCTGCTGACAGGTACTTTAAAAAATCCAAAACTCTACTCCTCCACCAATTTAATTTAATTCTAGAAGAAACTGACAAAACATTCTGGGTGATTTAGGCCAATTTTTACATCTCTAGAGAATGAATGAACCTTGATCTTTGTAGTAACTGGGAACTACGAAAGGATTATAAAGGGTCAAGGCATATTTTGCTATTATACAACAGGAGGCTCAAGTAATATACTGGCTTCCACTAGAGTAGCAGCAGTAGAGATGAAGTGAAATGAAAGAACTTGAGATAAATTCTGAAGGTAAAACTGACAGGACATTCTGATGGATTTCAATGTGGGGAATGAGGAAAACAGGAATACAAGATGAATTCCAGGTTTTTAGCTTGAATCACTAGAGGGTAGTCATGCTACTTCTAAGATGGGGAAGTTTGGAAGGACAGACTTGATGGGCTTTAAGAGAATCCTCAAGGTTGGTGGTTTGAACCTACCCAGCAGCTCCATGGGAGAAAGACGTGGCAATCTGCTCCCATAAAGATTACAGTCTAGAAAACCCTATGGGGGCAGTTCTAATATGTAACCTATGGTTGCTATGTGTCAGAATTGACTGGACTGCACCTAACAACTACAACAACAACAAGGGAATCAATCAACAGCTCTTTATTTTAAGTCTGACTTTCCTTTTAGCCATCCAAATGGAGATTATCAAATGGGCAGATGGATACACAAATCTGGAATGCAGGGGAGAAGTCAGGCTGGAAATATAAATTTGGGATTCGTTAACAATGTACATATTTAAAATAATGGAGCCCTCGGGGCGCAGTGGTTAAGCGCTTGGCTGCTAACCGAAAGGTCAGCAGTTCAAATCCACCAGCTGCTGAGCGGGAGAAAGATGTGGCAGTCTGCTTCCGTAAAGATTTACAGCCTTGGAAACCCTGTGAGGCAGTTCTACTCTGTACCATAGGGTCACTATTGAGTCAGATTTGACTTGATGGCAATGGGAATTAATGGATGGGAGGATGTAGAAAGAGAAAAGATGATGGCCTGGAAGCAAGCCCTGAGGCCTGCCAACATTCAGAGTTCAGAGAGAGAAGAAGAGCTCATAAAGAAGAGAGGTGGGAGAAAAAGTGGTGAGAGGCAGAATATGAGGAGAGAGAAATGTCTACTAGAACTGGCAACATAAAAGTCACTGATGACCTTGACAAGAGACTTTCATTGGAATGGTGGGTATACAAGCTAAATTTGAGACGGTTGAACAGTGAATGAGATCTGTGAGAAAGCAAGTGAGGACAACTCTTTCCAGAGGTTCTAGTGTATCATGGAACAAATAGAAGGTCTATAACTAGTGGGGGATGAGGAGCCAAGGGAAGGTTTTTAACATGACAGATACTAGTGCATGTCTCTTTACTGACAAAAAGGATTAAGAAGAGAAGAAAGTGATGATACAGGAGTGGTGGTAGGGTAACTATAGTACCAAGGTCCTTGGAGGCAAGAGGGAATAGGATATGGAATATAAAGAAAAGGCCTTGCCTTTGACAGGAGCAAGAATATTATTTCCATTCTTACAAGAAAGAAGCAATAAAACACAGGTACAAACACAGGTAGGTTTGAAGATCTGGTTATGGTGGAATAAAAGGGAGTTTCCTATGTGGCAGCTTCTATTTGAGAAACAGTCATTAGCTGAAAGTGCGGATAGGTGAGTGAGTATGGGTGCTTTGAAAGAAGAGGTGGTATGTAATACTAAAAGGCAAAACTCATTAGAAAAATGCAGTAGGATTTCCAAGCATGTTGAATGTCCAGTTGAGGTCCTGTGATTATGACTAAGGTGTAACTAGTCAGCTAGGTATATAATTTTACCTAATAATGTTTAGCTATTTGAATGCACGTATGGAAAAGGTAGAGAATTGGGTTAAAACAGGACTGGGGTTTAGTAAGGAGAGTACAAGGGGCAAAGTTATTGAGGGTATTTGTAAGGGAGTGATTACTATAAAGGACAATGCAATCTATGCTGAATAAGAAGGGAAATGAAGACAAGAAGGATATGATGGGTGTTGGACAGGTCAATCACATGGATGTTGAAAGCACCAAGAATAAGAGTATGGATAGAGAAGAAAACAGAGAGGATCTAGTCTTTAAGGAGCAGAATGATTGGCAGTTCAGTCTGAGGTAAAAAGGACAGATGGGGGAAGTAAAGATATAGACTTCAAAGGAACTAGAGTTTCCAAAGGAAAAAAAGAAATTATTTGGAAGGAGCAAGAAGACTCAACTTACTTCCCGGCCCTAAAGTTTGTGGATTATGGGATTTTAGGTAACAGACTTTTTTCTTGGGGATGCATGGGACATTCAAGAAATTAGAGACACTTTCCACTGATTGGAGCACTTTTCAACAGTATGGACCACGTGCATCAGAATCACCAAGCTAACTTCTTAAAAACGCAGACTCCCCATATCAGATCTACTGAATGATAATCTCTGAAGGTGAGGCGGAATTCTGTATTACAAACAAGCACTCCAGATGATTCTCATGAATGCTAAAAGTTTGAGAACTACTGGAATAGAATCATTTTTGAGGAAATAGTATATAGAACTCAAGTATACCTTTAAAAAAAAAGACTCATACCTGTTTTTAATAATTGGAAGTATAAATAAGGTTAAGAATAACTGTCTTAAGAGAAAAAAAATTTTCCCAAGAACAAGTGCTTTACCTCCCTCCCCTTTTGTAAGTGTCCTACACAAATTTATTCTTTGAAAGTATGTGGTAAAATATGGAAGGGCACAGCAATTTAATTTCAGGGAGGACTATGTGCCCTGTGGAGACAATTTGGCAGAGTAAGCAGGTATGCGAGACAAAGCCTGTGTTTCCACAAGAAAAATCAGAGCACTACAAATTTTTGTCTAATGAATGAATATAATAACCGTTCTCTAGAAGAGTGAGGGTTGGCAAGTGAGGGAGAGTGTATCTTATTAAGCTGGATCTACCTCAGGCCTAATATCATTCTTGGGCTTTTGGGGGATTGCTTTTTCTTTTTTTGTCCTAGACTGATAGGCGGAATCATTTGATAATCAGAAAGGTGGGAAAATATCAAGTCCTTTGTAGCAGCAGTTGGGAGTTGGCCCACAAACTTTTCTAATTTTGAGTAAGGCACTATTACCTTTAGAACATCCAACCTCAAAACAAAAATGAAATCACCAAATGTGATTCCATGTGATTCTGTTCCTCAGCTATATGTCAACAAAGCTAATAGGAGAGCACAAGGATGAACGAACACACCCACGAGGGCAGGAAAGCCTTCTGGATATTCTAGGACAAACAAGGCGATCAGTGAAAACCAATTATAAAAGAACAGCATCACCTGGTTATAGGAATGCCTCTTCTATCATGCACAGAATATAGTACTTACTCTCCTCTGACATGGTAAGGTTTGAAGCAAGGCTTGAAGTTTCCGGTTTCTGATCACTGACTTCTGGGTTGCTTACTTGACTGGGAGAACCAAAATGAATACATTAGCCCCTGACTGATTGCTGCACTGCTAAAAGTGATAAAATCAAACCCACTTTCTCCTAGGCTATATGTAAGAGGCAAGGTAAATCTTCATGATATTTTCATTTTTGGTTTTTAGCAGCTACTTGAAGAGTTAGGCCCAGGGCTAGCATCCTCGGCATTCTGCGGTTTCTCGTATCTCCAGACCCCTTCAGTTTTTGTATCTCAGAAACTCCAGTTAAGCCACAGGCAAGTCAGATTTTCTTTAAAGACCATATGGTAAAAGAAAAATTCTACAACACCTGAAATACTGCCCTGTCACTTTGTTTCCAAAGTACCACAGGAAAGCAGGCAGATGATTTTAGACAGGTGACTCTCAATCAGCTACAAACCAGAATCACTTGAGTTTTTTCAGATTACACATGGTTTCTTGCAAGGAGGGGTTCTGAACCCTTGAAATGGTTCATTTCACTGCATTTCTCCCCTCCCCCAATAAAAACTTAACTATATATTATACTCAAGACTAAGCAACATTTTCTTTTTTTTAAAACTTATAAGGAAAATTAAGAGAAATTGCGAAAGGTAAACTATGTAAAATGGGAGGACAAATCATTATATTAGCTACTTTGATGCTGGGAAGAGTCTCACTCAAATTATGGAATGGAGATTATTCTAACTTTTGTCCCTCACAATGTTCTCCCTTTTCCTTCTACCATACTTTCCACTCTCCACTTATTCTCTCAACTACCACTATAGCGTAATGGTTAAGAGTACAGATTCTAGAGCCAGACTGCTAGAATTCTTATTCCACTCTGCCAGTAATTAGCTCTATGACCTCAGGCAAGTCATTGAATCTCTCTCTACCCCAAATTCTTCATCTGTCAAGTGGGGATAATAACAGAACCTACCTCATAGGGTTGTTCTGGGGATTAATGAGTTAATGTATGAAAAGTACTTAGAGCAGAGACTAGAACATAATAAGCACAACATAAGGGTAGCTATTATTATTATGTTACAACTTCTTCCCAGCTCAGGCATCCTTCCCACATTCATGTTCCCTGGAAAGAAATCTGCTTTGCTCTTCTACACTCTAGGGAGAGGTGGAGGACATTGCAGGAGCGGTTCCATACATCTGGAAAGATAAGACTGACTAATCAAAGATGAGAGTAGTTTCTACACAGCAAAATTTAAAAATGAAATATTATTTATATAAAAATACAGTGCCAAAATTCTTAAAGCTCTCGTAACATTTCTGAAACTGACCTCTAATATTCAAATAAAGTTTCCTTTTTCTGGTATATTTTGAATGTTCAAATAATTTTTCCTCAGATGTAATTAACTGTTAAAGCTAAATCCCCAGATAAAATTTATATTTATCTACTTACTCAAATGCCTATATTTTTGCAATAGTACTTAATGTACTCACCAAGATGTGACTATGGGAATTGAAGGGTAAGGGTAAGAAATCATGCTGAGTAGTTAAAGAATGTTACCCAAACTGGCCTATTCATTGCAATTATCTTAACGCTTGTTAAAAATACAGACTTCTGCACCCCATCTCATACCTACTCAAGTAGAATTCCCAGAGAAAGGGCATAAAACTGGATAAGAGCTTCACATTTCTGACTACAATGACTAGTTTGTTTTCTACATGTACCTGGATAACTCTGGGGTTCACTGCTTTACCCACTGCTGAAAGACTATTTCTGGATTCTGTATCTTTGAAGGTAGTGATATGTGTATGGTCTGAAATGCAGTGGACCAGTTTCTAAAATCCTATGATCCTGGATTATGTTACAGCAAAATCCCGAATATTTAACATATTCAAATGAGCATCTAGAGATTAAATAGAAACAACAGTGCCAAGAATAATGAACTAACGCTAGCACTTGATTAATATTTAAAATTATTATCTCTACAGAAATGATGTACTGTCCCAATACAGACAGTCCCCAATTTATGACACGTTCAACTTACGACGAATCACACTTACGACCATCCTTTTTTCTTTTGCACATCTTATTGTTAGTAATAATGTACTACATACAAAGTTGCAGCACTTAATTTGCTAATGTTATCATTCTCACGTCAATCCCCAAATACAAATAAAGATCAGATTTATAAAGATACTGATAATAAAACGCAATAATAATGAAAACTAAAAAAAAAAAAAAAAAGCGAAGTATTCCACTTACATTAGAACCGACTTACGACAGAATCATCAGAACCCCAGCGTAAGTCGGGGACTACCTGTATGTAATTTTTAGAGTTATATAAACATAAATCCTACTGAACAATATGTGCACCATGAAAAAATAGTTACTCTAAAATAAAATGACTAAAAAAAGAGAGAGAGAAAATGCAAAAAACATCCAAACTGTATAAAGTGAGCATCACAAATACTTCATTCTCATTCAACAGAACTGTTGGCAATAATCAGCACATATGCATTTAGGAAAATTTTTATCTTAAACTAAATAATTTCAAAACATAAAGGTTAACGGTAAGAACCAACAGAAGGGCCATCATGCCCATATACTAATTGGCATGTGAGAAAAACTATAAGTAGATCATTAAAAAGAAATCCAAATTTACATACCTTAAAGTTTGCTCTCCTGACTCCTGCATCTTGACTTTTTTCACCTGAAAAAAATAAACATACAAAGGTACTAACACAAGGATCTATTTCTGAAATCCTCTAGCTACTCAAATGGCAGGCTGATATTAATTAATAAATTACAGGAGAACCGATTTTTGTTTTGCTTAGATTTATTTAATTAACCCTTGCTATATTTCTGAGTTAGAGACAGACTTGTTTGTTTTTCACATGGAGCTCATTTCCTATTTTTCAAGAAAAAGTGTTTTTCAGACCCAAGGTAAAATATTTACCAGGATAAAGTATGTTAATTGAGAATGAAGTCATTAGATTTAATGTTGTAGACTAGAAATAGGAAACTGAACTGAAATTTGTTCTCTGGTATAACAAATTAAAGTCCTGCTCCAAAACATTTTTTTCAAAGAATTTTTATGTACACAACCACAAGTTTTTTTAATTCCCACACTAATGTCATTAGAGAAATGTACATCAGAGCCATAATGATAGGCCATTTCACACCCATTAGGATGGCTATTATCAGAAAAACGGAAAACAGTAAGTGCTGGTGTGGATATGGAGAAATTGGAACCCTGATCCATTGCTGGTGGGAATGTAAAATGGTACAGCTATTGTGGAAAACAGTCTGGCAGTTCTTCAAAAAGTTAAACATGGAATTTCCATATGACCCAGCAACTCCACTCCTAGGTATATACCCAAAAGACTTGAAAACAAGCAAGCAAACAAATATTTGTACTCCAATGTTCACTGCAGCACTATTCACAATAGCCAAAAGGTGAAACAATCCAAATGTCCATCAACCGATGAATGGATAAACAAAGTGTGGTATACACATACAATGCAATATTATTCAGCCATAAAGAGAAATGAAGCTCTGATACATGGTACAATATTAATCTTGAAAACAGTATGCTGAGTGAAATAAGTCAATCATAAAAGAACAAATACTATATGATCCCACTTATGTGAAATCTAAAATAGGCAAATGTATAGAGCTTAAAGTTTATTAATGGTTACCGGAAGCAGGAAGGAGAGAGAAAGGGCAAGTCATTGCTTAGGGGGCACCGAGCTTTTGTTAAGGGTGATGGAAAAACCTGGAAACAGTGGTGACGGCTGCACAATATGGTGAATGTAATTATGTCACTGAATTTTACACATAAAAATGGTTGAAATGGCAAATGTTTTGTTACATATATTTTACCACGATAAAAAAGAATTCAGGTATGTTCTATCCTTTGCAGTTTGAAGATTACTCCTTGACAGAGAAGACAAAAAGAAATCAGGAGTTGAGTTAGTTGTTCTCTCTTTGTCACCTGTTCCATCACTTTCCTCTCATTTCCAAGCCCAAAATACAGCTTTAAAGGCCTTTTTTGTTGTTTTTGAGAATGTTTTCCAAAGCTTTACTCCTTTTCTATGTTTTAGCCTAGAGCACACTATGGTTATAAGGATGCACCACCTCTTTTATCTATAGATAAGTATTACTAATTTCTCTTTTTAAAATTTAAATACAAAAGGCTTACATGCTCATTATTTTTAAAAATCCAAACCATATAGATATAAAATAAAATATATAAGATCGAACATCTCTGTGAATTATCAGAATTAAGTTTAGTATATAAACCAGTAAGCTTTCTTCTACGCACTACGTCTTTTTAAAATTTGAGTTCAGAGAGCAACCTGGATAGCCACAAAAGAGTTTTTAAAAAATGTTTCAGGTTGCCAGGAAAAGTCTTGTTTTATGCCAAAAGTTACCACCCCTTTTCACTCTTCAAGAGAGTTCTAATTTGGACAATAATATAAGCCACCCACTTCAGAGTGGTTGAGAAAGATGATGATGCGAAAAAAGGCTGTTAGACTTGGTGATTTAAATGTTACTGTTGACCACAGAAGGAACCTCTTCTGATTGCAGATGGGTAAGGATTGATCACAAAAAAAGGGAAAGAGAAAGGATTTGAGGCTAGGCTTTTTGTTGCAATCTAAACCATGACCTGAACATAATCTTTAGGTAGAGCAAGCAAGTAGTAGAGAAACAAGAGAAGGGATAATTCAATAAGGAAGACTCAAAAAGAGACAATGGGATTAAAATAATTTTAATAATAACACCCATCAGTAACAACTCTCCTTATATAGGTAAATGGTAGGGTTAAAAATCTTGGTTTTATTTATCATCATCAACTTGGGATAGGACCATTCTTTCCACTTATATTTTAGATCTCTACTATAGTCTGTGAAAAGTTTTTTGTCAAAGTCTGACATTTACTCTTCCTATTCTATTTTTAACAGTTAAAAAGGAAATGATGCCCCATGACAATCACCATTTATAGTCAGCAGAAAATCTGTTTTTAAAGTGTTTCAATTTCTCATCTTCCTCTGAAGTAACAGTCGGGTTTTACACAGCATATTACAAAAGTTGAATAAAACGGCAAGGAAATGAAGCAGAGCAGAAAAGATGAGTTGCCAGGAGTTCAGCCTCACAATTCTCATTACCTTAAATAGGTAAGAAGTAACTAACAACAATACCCATATCAACAGTTAAGTCAACACTTACATTGAAAATGTGACTAAACCTTTGTTTTACTACATTAAAACTCAATGACAATTTTCCTTGATACATTTAGTGTCTATAATACAGCTGTTCCTGTAAGTATACATTTTATAAACACTGCCGAGGATAATTTTGAACCCTACCATTGACCTGATTATGGTAAATGTTCCACCAGGGATAGAGACTGACATTTCAAGTGTTTTGAAACCAGTTGCTTATGTCTTCCTAGTTTTGTACTTACCTCATCTGAAAGAGCAAAAAGAATAATGGCAAAGTAATCATCAGTATACGTTTCTCAGTATAAAGAAAAATATTAAAATATACTTAAGGACTTTATTATTTAAATGGAGGCTGATATCCATTCTTTTGTGATATAAAGAATATACGTAGAATAGGAAAAACATATCCTATTATCTGCTTTCAGAATTCAAATTTTTCTAGGTTGAATTTTCATAAAGATAGATAACGTTTATCACTCTACATTTTCTCTTAATATGAAATGCAAGAGGCCCACTGAGGATACCAAACTGAATCAGTAATTATCTAACTTCAGAAAAAGAAACTCAAAACAAAAGAATAAGATCCTTTAAACATAAAAGTTAGCTTAAGAGAACTACACTATTGCTTTCCTTTTTAAAATCTTAAGGGTCAAAAAATAAGAAGTGATGGCAAGGCATTAAACCCATATCACTTGGGGACATTTAAAATAATTTTATTTATTATATTAAATATTTAAAATAAATTAAGAATTCAATCTAGTCTCTGGGCTCTCATCTGATTTTAAAAACTAGCTAGTGTTCAAATTATACTCCTCAATTACTACTACCTTGTAAGAAATTAAGTCAATTAGGGAAAGTTAAGCAAAAATAAAACTAAAGTTTCTGGCAGAAATAATGATATACTGCCTAGCTGACACTGGTAAATAGATGTCTTCTTTTATGTCCTAAAAACTGTAAGACTAGCCATTGATTTTTTTAAATGACATTTCTATATACTATACTTTGTTATGCTGAATTTTCTAAACAGACTCCTTGATTTAGTGTTAAGTTAGTAAAGTATGAATTTAGAACATATAACATTGTTTTCTTAGAAGGAAAGTGTTAAGGAGTCTTTTCCTTATTTTTATTTCTAATTTGGAATCTATAAGTATAACTGAATAATATCTGAACTCTCAAGATCAGCTTTTTTATAGTCAACTTTAAACTGTTAAAGGAAATACTTACTGGTTGTTCTGGTAAATCTTGTTCTTCTTCCATGAGGACCAATATTTCTTTTTATGCTTATGTGAAAGGACTGCAAGTCTCCCTCAGCAGTCTTCACAGTCTGTTTTAAAAAGAGGGGTAGATTCAAAGCTTTATGTACTCTTAAAGCATTATCATTGAGGCCATCAGAGAATAATTTTTAAATATTTTGCTATCCCAAGCTTTTTACGTGAGTTCCAATCTCCAAATCTCAAACCTGCACATGGCTTTTCAAAATTGATACACTGCACCAAGTCAAGAAAGGTGTACACAATGACTTTTATAATACCTTGCAAAAGCCAACACGTGGAACCACTTCTGCTGTACTTAAAACATGGTTACTATAGTACCTCATATATTAAACATTTTACAATGACAGCCATGTGCAGATAACTAAAACAATTTTTTTTTTAGGATTAGAGTTACATTAAAAATGATAAAGACTGGCCTAGCATGTCAGTAAGTTCTGATAAAATCTAACCTGCTTTAAAGTGGAACATTTACATAACTGCTAATGGACACAAAATCACTTCAAATAGGATAAACTGGAAAATCAATTAAATACTTTACAGCCAACTATCTGTCTATATGTAATCAATTTAAAGGAAAACTGTTATTTCTTCTGGACCTATTTTAACAATGAAAATAAACTTCAGTGAATCTTCAATTTTAAAGAAATCCTGCCTTGATTTCTAAACTAAGAAAGAAAAAAGAAAAATAGGATTCTAAGCCCCACGTTTACTGGTAAGACCATCTTACTATGCCCTGCTGGCAAAAGAGAGAGAGACAGACACATGCACACTCAGAAACTAAATACATTATAAAAACAAAATACTCTATTAATATCTATTCAACAAAAATGAGACTAGCATTTCTCCCAAACAGATGTGATTGCTAATGCTTCACTTCTACCAACCACTGTACCCAACCTAACATATAAAGCAAGAGCAAAAAAGGAATCTTACTGCAGAAGTAATGAAAATAAATAAATTAGCACAAAAAGGAAAACAAAAAACTTCAGTTGTGCCAATATACCACCACTGTATTTTACTACTATATTTTGGTGCAATATAACAAACACACTTTGTTTTAGAGCCACACTCCAGAATGGGAAAATGAGAGAAAACATGAGTAAGGGATACAATGCATCCCTGCTCTGATCTAGAAGATCAAAAGAAAAAAAAGCATAAAGGTCAGAAGTATTTGATGCTCACTTATACTCACGTGTAGCTCATACAGACAGCCTCAAAAGCTAAGTTCTCATACTACATGACGCAGATAGCTAGTGCTGCAGAATTACAGAGCACAATAACTAAAGCTCACAGGAACTACCTTCCCTGCACTTGTTTTGCTCTACTCAAGAGAACAAGATAAATATGACGCGAAGCTGACTCACAATTGTGAAAGATGAAACATTTTTATGTTTTACCAGAGTATATTTATCTTGGTTTTAAACTGAAATGTCTTTTCTTTACTTTTCGGGATTTTAATACTGTCTAAATGTAGATAATGTGTATATATGGTTTCTTCTAATAAGAAAGAGCAAAACAGGGCCAAACCATTAGGGGAAAACATAATGCCTTTAATACCTCATTTGTTGAATTTTTGTGTGACCAGCTCTCATCTAAAGAAAAAGTGATAATATTCCATGTTTTATTTAATTGGGGGCCATAACTGTAATAACTACAATCCTTACTTAGTAGGTTCTTGACAGGAGAGAGGGAATGAAGACATAAAATCTATCTCTGGGCAAGAAAAAGGAGATTGTAAAAATGAACGCTCAGTAACACAAATGCTTTAATTTTGTTTTTAAACACAAGAACTAATTTATGTTACAAATCTGAACAGCATTAGAGAACAGAGATTTTTTAATACTGATCAAAAGGGGCCATGGGCTTTAAAACCTAAGAAACATCACTTGGAATACTGGAGAGATAAACTCTCAAGCTACACAAAGGCAAATGTATTTAAATCTTGAATTTCATTTTTAGAAATATGGTAATATTACATTGATTTTATAAGAGAAGAATCTGCTATTTTTCTTGAGATAAATTCTGTAAGTTGCAAGCAAACAACCTACTTTAAGAAAAAAATTAGAAGACTCATTCCTCTCTGCCTCTCATATTTCTTCCTTGAAACTAAGCACTTTGTTGTTTCTCTCTCAAAAATTACATTTATTTTCTCAGTTTTTCAATTTAGAGGAATAGAAGGGGTATAGACAATTTCTCTACTTAGAAAAAAAGGACTTTAAAAATCAGGCTTGATATCTCAAAGTAACTGGTCAATGACAACTGATAATTTTGATTATTTTAAAACAAAAAAAGCCTATAATGAAAGAACATGATTTATTACAGAATATTCTGGGATTCTACTGGAAAAGTGTGATGTACAGGAAGTTTGCAGACATATGCTCTGGTACGTCCGTGTGCAAAATGTATTAATAATGACAAATTATATAATTCTATTATAACATGCATCTTAAGATATCCACTTTCTATCAATACAGTATTATTCTTCCTTCCAATAATCTGTAATCGAGAAAACCTGAAATATAAGAACAAACTAAATATAAGAATACAAGTATTCATCACAAGTTCCTAGCATTTATCAATGTGCTAACACTTTTCATATTAAGATCTCAAATTATTTTCTACAAGTGGCACATGCTATAAATCAAGTCATATTTACTAGCTACCAGATGAAAGCGTTGAATAACATAAAGACAGTGCTCCAGTACTTGATAATAAAAGAAGTACAGAATTACTATACAAATTTTAGTATTCTCATTTCCATGTATTAGAGTTTAATCTAATTGTGATTTTTTTACCATTAATGTAACCTGACAGTGTTCTACACTCAATGAGATTCATTCTTTAAAATACCAAATAACACAATGGCTATGATATAGAAGTAGAAAGCAGATTCTTAATGTAATTAAAAACTTGGTCAAACGGCCAGTGAAATTATAAAACAAACTCTTAGTTAATCTTTTAAGTACCTTTTTGGGATTTGGATAGTAATGACTTTTCATAATTACACAGTTTCAATTTTTACTACTGGTTTCTAAATGCAGTTTTATTATCTTTTTTGGAGATAGAGCATATCATTATCTATATGTCTTCATGGATCGAAATCCAGGAAAATTTACAACAGAGGCAGTATTTCCTAAGACTTCACATCTCCCTACCTGCCAAGGGCTGACAATAAAAAAATAAGAACTTTGGTTTGAATCAAAATTTTAAACATAATTCTGATTTTATATGTTCAAAAAATAATGCAGAATCCTTTTGTAATATGGCAGCAGGAAATTTTATTTTTAATCTTAGAAATTAGAAGGAAAATAACTGGTAATAAATATTTTATTTCAAAATTCTAATTAGAGTCATACCTCAAAATTTCTGTTCTGTACCAGGTTCAGTATACTACTTATTGTAAATGGCCAAAGCAAGAACTTAGGTTACTTCAACGTGTTATTATAGCTCTTAGGTATAAACCAAAAATCCTGTTGTCGTAGAGTTGATTTCAACTCATAGCGACCTTATAGGAAGGGAGATTTTGAAAAGAAAGAAAGAAAGAAGTATACGTATATTTTAAAGCACAGAATAAAAGTCAAATTGTTCTCAATGAAAACAAAGTATGTATCATTCTTAATTAACTTTAAGAGAAGGGCCTAAATAGAACAAAGCAGTATGATCATAGGCCCTGGAAGGGGGACTTGCATGCAGCTAACCAAGTGTGCATAGAGATATTCATGGGTTAACTGACTATTGTTGATACGGTCCTACCTAGAAAACAGGTAGTCCATAAATCTGATCGTCAACCACACTGTATTTCAGAAGTCTATTTACCACTCCTTCCAAAACCTTATATATATTTATATACATTTTTTTAAAGCACACTATAGAAAAGGCTACAGAAATTTCCCTCGGGGAAATTAACAGCATCCTTATCAAAATTTTTTTAAAAATCACAGCAATAAATTATAAACAAAAGTAGCCTGAAGAATATCAAAAAAGTAGTATATCATTACTTAAGATTTTTATTAAAATGTGATCACTTTAGGACTTAAAAGTGGTAGATAACCTTGGTGAGTAGCATCTGGGGTCTTAAAAGCCTGTGAGCAGCCATCTAAGATACTCCACTGGTCTCATCCCCTTGGGAGCAAGGGAGAATGAAGAGAACAGGATACAAGGAAAAGATTAGTCTGAAGGACTAATGGACCACAGCTACCAAAGCCTCCACCAGACTGAGTCCAGTACAGCTAGACGGTGCCCGGCTACCACCACTGAATGCTCTGACCGGGATCACAACAGAGGGTTCTGGGCAGAACTGGAGAAAGATGAACAAAATTCTAACTCACAAAAAAAAAAAGAAAAAGACCAGATTTACTGGCCTAAAGGAGACTGGAGAAACCCCGAGAGTATGGCCCCCAGACACCCTTTTAGCTCAGTGGTGAAGTCACTTCCGAGGTTCACTGTTCAGCCTGGGAGTGGACAGCCCCATAAAACCAAATGGGACTAATGAGGCACAGCAGTCCAGTAACAAGGGCGAGAGGCAGAAGGGGACAGGAAAGCTGGCGATAGGGAACCCAAGGTTGAGTAAGGATAGTGTTGATCTGTTGTGAGGTTGTTAACCATTGTCATAGGGCAACATGTGTACTAACTGTTTAATGAGAAACTACTGTGTTCTGTAAACCTTCATCTAAAGTGAGAATAGCAGCACAATTAGAAGAGCGTAGTCGATGTCACTGAACTGTGCATGTAGAAATTTTTGAAATGGTATATCTTTGGCTATGTGTATTTTCACACACACACACAAAAAAGGTCGAGAAGGGAGAGGGTTGACATGGTCGTGGGGTTGTTAACCAAGGTCATAAAACAATATGTGTACTACTGTTTCATGAGAAACTATTTGTTCTGTAAACTTTCACCTGAAGTACAATAAAAAAAATAAAAATAAATAAAAAAAGTGGTAGATCACTAGCAACTGTTTACCATGGCATCCTCAAATATAATTATGTGTATACCTCGAAGAATGAAAACAAAAAGCAAAATACCCTCTTCTAACGGCATTAAGACGACTGCTTCAAGTATCGTTATTCAACAACAAAAAGTATCATTATTCAACAATAATTAGTCTAATCTAAAGGGGATCTACTAATGAATTTAGAAACAAGTGTCCTAACAACCAAAGCAACAACCATAAACCCTAAAGATATTTGTTCAAAATAAATTCTAATTTATAAACTAGGAGGCTTTATAAGGCAAAATCAGAAAAGCTGTTAAGGAAGATGGTTTCAAAATAAAAGAAACCGTTTTTGTGGTCTCTTGCTGAACAGTGTTTATTAGTAGTAAGTATTAGCGGAGATGACACTAAATAGGAATTTGGGCTTCAAAATCTGTAGAATATATACATTAGTTTTCAAATAAAAAGAAACAAACGTTAAATACCTATAAATTTCTCATTGAAAATCAGGCAAAAATAACAACAAATATTTTGGAGGAAAGGAGAGTAACAGAGGCAATTAAGGAAGATCTGCCCTATATCAGTCTTTAAAAGCAATTATTGTAGGAAGGAAAGAGAACTAACATTTACTGAGCATCTATTACACACCACATATTTTTACATTTATTATCTCACCTAATTTTATGTTTAAAACTACCATAGGAGAAACATGGTATCATCTTCATATTACAGTCAGGGCAACTGGATTCAGAGATTTAAACGATTTGCCTGAGAATAACAGCAATAATGTTAAAAGTTAAAGTGGACATACACAAGTTAAAGAGATTAGAAATTCCAAAAACAATTATCAAATCAAAAAAGTGTTGAAATAAATGGAGAAAATCAATATTAAAAAACATTGTCAGTAAATTGAGTATCAATGTGGTAAAAACCATATACCATGATTCATTCTAAATATATGAAGTGCTAAGCATTCAAAAAATTTTGGAGAAAACAGAATAGCATATTTATCTCACCTGTAGAAAAGAGATACATTTATGAGTAAATAGAATAAAGCCTAAGCAACAAAGCCACATATCCAGTTATGCAAAATAAACTTCAATGCGATGAAAAACAAGAAATCTAAGATTAAAAGGATGTTAACAAATGAAGACAATACCTGCAATAATTATGATAAAACCCAAAAAACCCAAACCCACTGCCATCAAGCGGATTCCAACTCATAGCAACCCTACAGGACAAAGTAGAACTGCCCCACAGGGTTTCCAAGGAGCGGCTGGTGGATTTGAACAGCCAACCTTTTGGTTAGCAATCGAGTTCTTAACCACTGTGCCACCAGAGCTCCATAATTATGACAGAGCTCAGTGGCTACAATATAAGGCCAACCAATCTAACATTTAACAATCATCTACTATGTACCAAGCAATGACTACCATGTACCTGTCAAAGTAACCACAAAGATCAAATCACCACTTGAGAAAAAAGACTCTATTCTCACTACTAATTGAAGAAATATAAATTTTAATATTTTTAAGATATGATTTCATACCTATTAAATTACCAAAGATAAATTTAAACAACAAAACCAAAAGTAATCTGGGCCATAAGAAGATAAGACATATTCAGGCACAGTTGTAAAATCATATGTATCTTCAGACTGTTCCCCAGATAAAGTATTAAAAAAAAAAAAACCCCAAACTTGTTGCCATCAAGTAGATTCCAACTCATAGTGACCCTATAAGACAGATAGAACTGTCCCATAGGGTTTTCCCAGGGGCGGCTGGTGGATTCAAACTGCCAATCTTCTAGTTAGCAGTCGAGTTCTTAACCACTGAGCCACCAGGGCTCCACAGAGTATAAACGACGTCATAAAACTGGCCAAAGCCTAACATTAATAATTTTTCTTAGGCATTATCAGAAGAATTAAATAGCAGGGAAAAAGCTAACTCTGTGTGTGTGTGTGTGTGTGTGTGTGTGTGTGTGTGTACATAAAATATTGTGCAAGTACAAGTTTGTTATTCACAGAAATGAAAGATCAGAAACAGTCCAATATGTGAAGAATGGTTTAACTATGCTATAATTCTCTAATTGAATATTCCGTACTAAAATGAAAACTGTAACAAGCTTATTTAAAAGATAAAAAAGTAAGTTTTTATATTAAGTATAGCTTATTATAAGTGCTTAAATACACTTTGATAAGAATCAAAAGCCGATACAATGCTGGATATTTTAAGGTTCTATACTAAAACGTTAAATATAATTTTTAAAACGCTTTTTAAAATTCTTAAAATTCAAAAATGTTCCTCAGACATTAAGCTAAAATTAGACACAAATTCTGCATTCTTTCCCCTCCCTTTTTCTTCAAAAAGAAATTTCAACTTCAAGGAAAAATAAATTTAAACTGAGGTGATCCTCCTTGACCTGCAAAATCCTATAAAGAAGTCATGCCAACACCACAGGATCCTAGGCAGAGAAATTCATTTGATTTTCTTGCTCTGTTGCCTCTTTTATAAGAAGTCAAGTTAATCAGAACATGTACACTGCACATAAATAAAGGGTTGGCTTATTTTATGGTTCTGAGCAATGGCATCGAACTTTCTCCAATAGTTAATTTGATATTAGCAAAGACTTCACATTTGGTTTTACCTTTCTGAACAGAAATCATTCTCTCTGCAAATGCAACAAAATATGTAACATAAGATGCTACAAGGGACATAGAGGTGGAGGCATTGCCATGTGAAGCCTGTAAGTAGTACAGCCAGTGGTGGAACCCAAGATTCGGGACTCCCTAGTCTTTTTTTTCCCCCCTCCTCATGTAGAATTCAGCATACAACCTGCCCCTTTAAAATTACATTCCTAGTATCACCTTAGGCTACTTACTCTTTTTCCTTCATTAAATCTCTAACTATTCTACATTATATTACTTTGGCCTCATGGTATATCAACATGCTCTTAAATTTTAAAATGTTTTAAACTTATAAACTCAAAACTTTTTTCAATGTATTGACTGGCATTTTAAGACCGCCTCAAAAATTCTAAAATTAGATTCTTTTTTAAGCTACTTATTACAACTCTGTACAGTTCTAGCGAAAATGACAATTTGGTTTCTCTTTATAACCACAGGCCCTAATTTACGATGTACAGACTTTGATTTACTGTTAATCAAACAGGTCATTTTAATCACAATGTAAGTGAAAATAACTTCTTTTACCATTTCTAGACAGTGATAAGCATCATGATTTTGGAAAAACAAAATCTCTCCCAACCTACTGAAACCTCAAAGTTATTAGTGAAAGAGTCCTCTGCTTCATTATTAGTTAATAATTCAGAGTTCTTCAAAACTATTCTGGCTTTTACTTGTGGTCTGTTAATTTGGCAGTTAACAATTCTGTTAAAACTATTAATTCTTCCTTGGTATCCTGACCCTAAGTTCCACCTTAGTCTTCTTAGTATCTGATAGCACATGGTTGGCACTCAATAAACACTTGTTCAATCAAGCACAATTTCCAAACTCTTGATTCCTTTTAATATTTACTTACTTAAAACCAGTTCATTAAGGATGTTCGATATACTTAGGAGCACAAAAAAAAAACCAAAAAACAAAAACAAAACTTCACTTTTCCCATTTCTCACCATGGATGTCTAAATCACAACTTTAATTCTTTACAAGGTTTTGTTTATAAGATTTTGTTAACTTGACGAACACCGTTTTGAAGTTTTTGTTAACCAAAAAGTTTCCTTCAAAGACAAGCAAGGAATGAAATACCTCAAATCAAATTTTATTATCACATATATAAAAAGTGATCACGTGTGCTACTTACTTACAGGTAAGGAGCCTTCCATTTCTCTCCCTTAACAGGCTAAAGCTTTAAGTTTAAAAAAACGAAGAGAGGGGGATGAAGAGAAGGAGGAAGGGAAGGAAGGAAAGAGGGAGGGAGAAAGAAACCTCCTCTTGCAAACACTTTTATATACACATAGCTATCATGAAACAAGAATTCTGGCCAAAGATAGGTCCACATTCTAATCCCCAGAACTTGTGAATGTTACTTTATTCGGAAAAAAGGTCTTTACAGATGTAATTAAAGATTCTGGGATAAGATTATCCTGGATTATACGAACCAAACCAAAACAAACCCGTTGCCGTCAATTCCGACTCATAGAG